AAGATTTTCTTTTTGTAAAAACTGAAAAAACAAATTTGTATAAACTGAATTTTTTTTTTGTAAAAACAGAAAAAAAATATTTCGTTTTTTAACAAAATATTTTTGTTTTTTAAAAACTGAAAAAATTATTTTCAACAAAATATTTTCGTTGTTGAAAAATATTTTTTTTCAGTTTTTTGAAAGATTTGTTTTTTTGATTAACTCAAAATTTGTATTAATCAAAGTATATCTGTACAAGGCCATGTAACCCAGCTACAATCTCTACTCACTAGCTCATCCTAGTTACAATTTGCATTCTTCTGACCAACTAGGCATACTACTACAAAACTCTAGTTTCAACCACTTTGTACAGGTAATTACATGAAAATTCAAGNGCACAATCTTTGCTCCTCGAATATGCTTTGCTGAAACCTTATCATATTCCTTTCGCTCCAGATACTATATACTAGCATTGCAAACACATAGCTGATAATTGCTGCCTTCCCTGTCTTTTTCCTGGCCATATTACTTGCCCAGTTTAGTTCTTCTCTCCAATCTTTTATACTTCTCTTTATGTCAAGCCATAGCAGTAGTCTTGTCCATAATCTATTTGTGACTGGGCAATCAAAGAAGAGATGGTGTTGTGTTTCTGTGATAGCCTTGCAGAATTCACATTCCTGTGGCACCTGTATTCCCATCCTGCTAAGTCTATCCACAGTAGCTAATCTTTCATGTGTAGCCAACCATGTTATAAATCTATATCTAGGATGAATGTTTGGCTGCATAATTAAGTTCCTCCATTGCACTTTCTGGTACTGTAGCATCAACATTAAGTAAGCTTGCTTTATAGAAAATTTGCCATGTACCACTAGTGGCTTCATTTTGTCACCCAGGGAACCCTGTACTTGTTGCTGATGTATATCATTCCTTGTTTCTATTATTTTCCTGATTACCCAAGCTGCAGTCTTAGGTATAGGCATGTACAAATTTGTTTTGTAAAAGCTGGAAAAACAAATTTGTAAAAACAGGAAAAAAAAAAAGACTTTTTGTTTTCTAACAAAATATTTTCGTTTTTTAAAAACTAAAATTTTTAAAAAAAACTGGAAAAAATGAAAATAGGGGTCGGGTTGTGGGTTTTTTTAAAAACGGGTCGGGTAAAAAAAGGAAATGAGTCGTTTTAATCTGGTGTTGCCACGTGGCACTCCATTCAAAATAGGGGTACTTTTGTTTCAAAGTATGACAGTAGGGGTATAGATAACCCAATAGTATGACGGTAGGGGTATAGATAGCCCAATAATATAACGAGGGGTAGAGGTAAACAATATTTGAAAGTAGAGGGGTATATTTAGCCCTTTTCCGTTTTAAATAAAGACTCCCAACTCTCAATCGGAAATCGCAGTTGTGGTCTCGTTTGCGGGTAAGAGAATTAACCACATTTACGCGTCAATCCCAATTAAATGATATACTAGTTAAAGAGTTAAAAAAAAAATTGATTTCTCCCAAGCAATTGATATGGGAAGACCTCGTATCAAAATTGTTACTATAGTGAGCACAATTTATATTTTATTGGTAAACATTTTCAACGTTGTATAGACATACATACACTTTTCTTTTTCTCTTTTAGAAGGAAGGGCGACGAGAGTTTAATTGTATTATTTCTGCATCGGTATTGAGCTATAAATTGTGCATGTTTATGCAGGTAACAGCATTTCAGAACTCCTCGATACGATCAAGCCAGTTGACAATGGTTGTATATAGGCCCTTAGTGTCATTTAAGGCAACAGTCTTAACCACTTGCGCAACAGCATCTGCTGGAGTGTATACCGCTCCTACTCGCCATTTTGGTTCCTAACCACTCAAAAAAATAAAAAAAAAAGAATCACATTGTGTTGAAATGAACGAATAACGCAATGTTCACTTATAAGAGCAATTTTCATATTCTATATGAAAATAGAATATGAGTGATGGACTGTACAAGGATAAGGGAGTTTCCATTATCATTGCGTGGTACTATCCTTTTTAACAATTTCAGCTTGAAAATGATGCCAAAATGTGCACTTTTCAGGGGACTCGTGCTGGTAACAAGTAGAACTGATATCACTCGCTAGAGTAGTATCACATGTACTTAGAGTTCTCCTTATTTCTATAGCTAGTTAAAACAAGTGAATAAAGCAAATCACGCAACAATGTGCAAGTTACCTGTACGCACGGTGTGATGTGGTTACCAGTTAATGCAATTTTCTCCACCTTTCCACCGAAAGATTCTACTCGGGGCTTCAATGTCTCTTCAAGCCGATCTGTCTCATCGATCGTATCAGAGTCAAACTTCACCTGAAATAAAGGTTCAAGCCCGTCAAAACTAGCATTGACTTTCAATCAGAAACTACTTTTCTGGATGATAAAAACCATAATATGAATACCAGCAGTGTGCGCTTGACGTTGTATGAGTTTTTGAAACACTCAAGATTTTCAGAGGGTGTTGGCTTGAACTCTGATATCCCTTGAGCAAGCTAAAGAAACAACAATCTCATTAGACCGATAACTAAGACCAAAACCATAATCTGCTTAAATTTGAAATGCATGAAGAGAGAGAGAGATTCAGCAAGATATATAACATTCAAAACTGTAACAACATGTAAGGGAGACAACAAATTTTTCAACCAAATTGCAGGATCACCAAATAAAATGGACAGAACATACCTCGCCAAATACCGAAGGCAACTGATCAGCAAATTTAGTCAACGAAACAACTGTTTCTGGATCATAATCAGGGATGATTGTTCCAGCTGTATCAAGTAACACCCTCAATGCATCTCCTACATAGTAGGTCATATATATACAGTGAACGACAACTCATTGAAGCTTGATCAAGCGCATGCAAGATTGTTGTCTTAGACCAGAATTACTAATACAAAAAAATCATATTGATACATCACTCACTCCATTCAACCCCTATTTCCAGCATTGCAACATCTGTAACTCTTAAACTTTAATTGAACTTTGCAAAAAGCTGTAACACGATCATCAAGAAGACTGAAGTATTAAAAAGGGTACAAATTAGAGTGTCTAAAGAAGCTTCTTGCTGATAGCTTAAGTTACTGTTATGTATACGTATCAATACGGTAAGATTTCAATAGAATATCAGCCTTATTTTTCTTGATCATCTTGATTTTTTTGGCCCTAGTTTCATACATAATGCTGTCAAAATTTTGACATGGGGATGGTAAGATTTAAAATTAAGTTTCCTTTTCATTTTTCCTTCTCGTCGCCTTAGTGTCGTGGGTTGGATGTTCATGCTATTTCACATGAGAATAGATCCAACCTTTACCAAACTCATACTATCACTCGCAAGAACGAATTAAAGTCCATGAGTGAAACCAAAATCAGGTTACACATACTGGGAGGGTGTTGGGTTATGTAGTATTCCACTCACTGAGATTATTAAAAAAAAAAAGAAAGAGTTATGTGGAGTCCCACATCTGGTATATATAGACAACTGAAGGGTTTATAGAAGTCCTGGATTACTTCATCTAGTGGCGTAAGATTTTGCTGCATGTTTAAATTCTTTCACATGAATTAATGTGCAAAGTTATTAACTTCTTATGCCAAACATCAACAAGACATCGTCAGTATCATTCAGGTTAAAGAAACTGTTGTAGTCCCTCATTAAGAATCGGTCAAAATTTTAGTAGTAGTATCTAAGATATATATTAACAAGCCAAAACCAAAAACAACATTAAGGCAGGTCGGTACCATATTCACAAGATAAAAAACAAAAAAGCTAGTGGTATCAGCTCAGGTCACAGTGAGCCTAGCAAATCAACTAAAGATTCTACCTCCTCTAGCAAATCAGCTAAAGCTCACACTAGGAGGATATTTTTACTTCTGCTTGATCTTAAAAGATTATATCTCTACATCTAATAGCCATTTTAAAACGAAGTCGATTGATGCTCCACAAAAAGTGTAATATCAGAAAAGGTAAAAGTGGGATTTCTTGTAATTTGGCATCAAATGACTAGACTCATACACAGTTTCTAAGATCAACTGGTAGACAGCACATCGGCTTGTCCAGTTGCAGGAGAAGTAGAAAAAGGAGAAAGAGAGAAGGAAACAAAAGAGTGTAGTAGGCAAAGCAGGAAAGGAGAAATTAAATAATATTCACATGTTCCATTGAATTTGACCCACTTTCCTTTTTTCCGGTACAAAAACTTCACCTATTTCTTGAAATGAAATTTTTTCTTCCTTGAACAATTTAAACTCATAAACAAATATTAAATCATCTACATTTTTCTAATTAAGTATTCTACTTCTAAATAAAGGGCAGCCCGGTGCACTAAGCTCCCGCTATGCGTGGGTCCGGGGAAGGGTCGGGCCACAAGGATCTATTGTCTAAATAATTCAGACAATTTTTTGAACACTTCTGCACCAATCTCAACATAAGAATCAATTTAAGCATTTTATTCTTAAGCTCTACATAAGTAAAATTAGTTAGATGGAGTAGCAGTTACTTGCAAGATTGCTGCATAAAGGAAATAGGAATTGACATCTCTAAACAAGAAAATCAGAATTTAATGTTTCTAGACACTTCAAACTTATGGTTGATCATGTTTTGAAACATATTTTTCTTATGAACACCCTACCACCCTACCAAGAGGAGGGAAAACTTTTTCCAAAACTCTCTTTCAACTTTCCTCACCCCCCAATCGCCACCCTCGCCACCCCGGCCCCTAGACCCTCGACCTACCACCACGCATCTCGATCTCACCCCAACCATAATACTTCCCCCGGCCCCCAAATCCCGCCACCCCTCCCCTGATGGCCCTCGGACTTGGGGACCCGAATCCCAACCTAAAGTTCAAGGGGTCGTGTTCGACGTCAGGATCAAGGTTCGGGGGTTGGGTTCGAGGTTCGGGGTCGGGGTTGGGTTCGAGGTTCGTGGTTCGAGGTCGAGTTCAGGATATAGGATCGAGGTCAACGGTTGGGTCAAGTTCGAAGTTTGGGGTCTGGATGGGAGTTCGAGGTCGCGGTCAAGATCGGGGATCAGAGTTTGAGTTCAGGGTCGGTCTTCGAATTCGGAGTTGGGGTCATAATCACAATCCGGGGATCATGGTCGGGGTTCGAGTTTAGGGTCAGGGTCGGAGTTCGAGTTAATGGTTGGGGTCGGAATCAAGGTTCGAGGTTGGGGTTTGGGGTCAATGCCGAACCCAACACTCCAATCCCAAACCCTTGTTCCGACCCCAACACCTAACCCTTGACCCGATCCTAATCCACCTATCTCGACCTCGACCCCAAACTCCGACCTTGTTCGTGACCCAAGCCCCCAAAACCTCCATCCCGGTCCTAACCCCAACCCCGATCCTGACCCTAGCCCCGACGTTGAACCTTAGTCTGAAATGTTAGGAAATGAGTAGAGAAGGCGGCTGGTCCGAAAGAATAAAAGGGTTAGTGGAAGATATGTGATATATTAGGTATTGAGTAAAGGTGAGGGAGACGTGGACGGTTAGGAGCTAATAATAAAAGAAACGAGATGAACGGCCCAGATTGGAAGATGAAGAGTAGGTCATCGAACGGTCCAGATTGACTTCTAACAATTATAACAACTAACGGAAACGGAAGAGGGGAGTTAGTTAGAATCCGGTAATTTGCTACTTTCTCTCTCTAATCCGTTCCTAATTCTCTCTTCCCTCTTCTTCTATATCCTTCCTCACCTTCATTTCTGTTCTTTCAGGTGCTCAGCTCATCAATGGAGTTTGGACCTAATCTTCCAATTTTGTTGTAACCATTCGAATTAATCAATAAAGCTTCCGATTTGAATTTCATTCCTTTGTTCAATTACAATTTTGTGTCAATTTTCCAAGTCTATTACATGAAACCCCAACTTCGACCCTCAGACGCTGACCACCCCGAACTCCAACGCTGACCCGAACCCTAAAGCCAACTCTAACCCAGAACATCGGCCTCGGTCCCTGACCCCCGACCT